AGCACTCACCTAGCATGTGTGAAGCACTGGGTTTGATCCTCAGCACCACATAAAAATGAAATAAAAACATTGAGTGTCCACCTACAACTAATATAAATAAATAAAAAGTTCGAGAGGTGTGGATCAGTGTTAAAGGGTTCCTGGGTTTAATCCCTGGTACTGCCCCTGAAAAAAACAAACAAAAATGTTTGTAGTTCAAGCTTTCATTAAATACGCTTTGAATTTGAGTTGAAGATGTCTGTTATTTAATTGGAACATCTTGCCTCTGAGTTGGGGAGGTCTCCTGCAATTGCTTTTTGAAAGTGCTCAGGTGTAGGGAGCTGCCTTCCACTTCAGGTGGTGATATGAGCAGTTGCATTGGCAGGTCTTCTCATGCTTCATGTTCTTGCATTCCTGAGAGCAATGCAGCTGTGCTATTTAGGGACTTTCCACTGTTTCTTGATCAAATCTGCGTTTCACAACAAATATTATATATGTACCACTTCTTGCACTTTCCTTGTGGTCACTTCTTGCCAAAGTCTTTCCCCCACTGTTTCTCAAATGTATTTATTTATTTGTTAGACATGGGCACAATATCTTTATTTTGTTTATTTTTATGTGGTGCTGAGGATCGAACCCAGGGTCTCTCACGTGCGAAATGAGCACTCTACCACTGAGCCACAACCCAGCCCTCTCAAATTTAATAATTAATATTTTATGTCATTTGCTTTGCCATTTTTATTTATATTTTTGAGATAGTGTCTTGCTATGGTAATAGTGTTTCTATTTTGAGATGGGGTCTCACTAAGTTGGCCTCAAACTTTTGATTCTCCTGCCTCGACCACTTTGTCATTTTTAAGTATGAGAAATAAGACATTACACGTCAAGTCCTAATCCCCTTGAGTCCCTACTACCACAGGCAAAAATAAGTAATGTGCATTTGTTTAACCTATTTTTGTTTTTACTCCTTGGTATATCTTGAGAAATATTTTTCTGTAAAATATCTTTTTTACTTCTGACACATAGCCATTGAACGTATTCATGGAGTGCAGTGTAACATTTCTTGCAAATCTTAATGTTGAACAGTGAGCTTAGTAACCTTCATTTTTCTCCTTTTTTTTTTAGTCAAGCAATTTTAATAGGTTAATTGTAATCAGTAAAAGCACAAGTAACACAAAAGGCTTGAATTTCATATCTTTAACAACTTTTCATAGTCCTTACTGRAAGGTGTTGAGGAAGGGACCCACGCTTTTTTGGCTTTCTTGGTTTATGACCACAATCAGCAAATGTTCCACGTGTGCCTAGAAGGCATCTGGCTCTGATGAATGCGTGCTCCTTCATCCCAGTGTGATCAGGCTGGCTGTGTACATTCTCTCCTGCTTATCCCCATTCCGTTTTTTTTTTTTTTTTTTTGAATTTCCATTTCTGAGAGCATCTCACTGTGGTTGGATTAGGTTATCTCCCTGCATTCTGGGTGAGACTTTTGCTCTGTGTTTTGCTGCGTTTTCTAGGTGTTCTGTTGCCCTGTGATCCTTGCTGGATGTCTGTTTGCTTGTCAAGGGATACAGGGCCCTTCCTTGGTTGGCTTTGCCTGTTCCACCCTGATGCTTTTGTCTTCTGTGTCTTTCTGCTTTGGTGTTTCTGTTATAAACTGTTCAAGAGAGTTGTTCTGTCCCGTTAAGGCTGTTCGCATTTACTGTTATTGGCGATATCATACTTCTTACCTTTTATTTAGCCTGTTTTAATTGTGCTCTTTGAACCCTGTATCAGCTGCTCCTGAATTGATCTGGCTTTCTTATTATTCTTCCTTCCACAAGGGTTTTTGTACTTCAGTGCTATTGACATTTGGGGTTGGGCCATTTCCTGTTGTGAGGACCATCCTGTGCATCACAGGACATTCATCAGCGCCCCTGGCCTCTGCCCCTAGATGCTAGAAGCCCTAGTCTTGATGTCAGAAGCATTTCCCAAGACTGCCAAGTGTCTTCTGGGGACAGAGCCTTCTTCAGGTGAAATCCACTACCTAGTCTGGGGATGGAGCTCAGTGGTAGAGTGCTTTTGTCTGGCATGTGTGAGACCCTATGTTCAACCCCAACACTGCCCGACACACACACACCAAGCTCCCTCTGGGCTTGGAAGTTTTGTATCACGCTTACTCTTTTATTTTTGACAAGCTGTAACAGGAATCAGAGAAATCTCAAGGACTTTGTCTCCATTTTCCCTTGTCAGAGGCAACAAGCCACTGCCGCCCACCACCCTCTGGCTAACCCTAAATTGTTGGCACTGCAATCCCATCTCCCTCTCTCCCTTCTGGGTTTTTCCTGATGAATAGCACTTCTCCATTCCTTTGGCCAGTGTCCTTGGAGTTCAGTTCTGTCTTTGCTTTTCTGACTCTGCCCTTATCTCATTAACTCTGGGTTCCTAATTGCTATGGGGTGATCTGTGGCAGTAGTTCCCACTGTTTCCTGGTGCTGTGTCTGGCCCTCTGACCATCTCCACAGGCTTGGCTGATTCACGTCTTCCTACCTATAATTCTTGCTTGTTGAGTCTGAGATGCCTAAATGGAATTGCTGGATGGGGGTTTTGCCCATTTTGTTGTTTTGTTTCTTATGAGACATCTCTTCAGTTGCCCAGGCGGGCCTGGGACTTGTGCTTCTCCTACCTCAGTGTTCTCAGTAGCTGGGATCACAAGTAGGTACTACTGTGTCAGCTTTTCATGTCTTGTTTTAACCGCTGCTACCAAATTATCCTGACAAGCTGACTGACCACTTTATATGCCTTTTGATTTCTCATGTGACCTGCATGAGTTTTGTATTGTCACATTTTTTCTTTTGCTTATGTGAAATATACATATATTGTGGTCTTAAAGTTACAGTTTGTAATTGCTCAAATATCATTGACAGAGAGAATGAGCAGGTATATTCCTTTACTCTCTAGGAAGTACTTCTTGGTAGCCGTTTTTTTTTGTTTGTTTGTTTGTTTTTGTTTTTGTGCTGTTCTGTTTGAGTTTTTTTTTTTTTAATAGATTTTGGGCATTAAATCCTTTGTCACTTTTATATTTTATAATATTTTCTATCCATCTGCCACTTTTGTCTTTTTTTGTTTTTTTGTTTGTTTGTTTGTTTTTGTTCAGGGCCACTTAACGACTGAGCCACATCCCTGCCCTTTTATGTATCTTATTTGGAGACAGGGTCTGGCTGAGTTGCTTAAGGCCTTGCTGAGTTGCTGAGGCTAGCTTTGAACTTGTGAACCTTCTGCCTCATCCTCTCCAGCTGCTGGGATTATAGGTATGGGCCACTGCACCCTGCCTGTGTTGTCTTTTATTGTGTGGAAATTTTAAATATTGATGTCAGATTTTTTTCTCATTTTACCTCTCCCTTGCACAGATGTGAATTTTAAAAAGAAAACAAGTGAAAATACATATCCATCTATCCCATCACTGTTTTCTATTTCTCTTTCAGATACAGGTTTGTGTGCTTTACTCTGTCTTTTTCTTTTCAGCTTGGGACATGAGATTGGAAGCATCAGTCCAGAATGTTCCTGAGGACCTACTATCCTGTGACACAGACATGGAAGGTCCCACAAGGGAGGCCCCCTGCTTCTCCGTTCCAAGTGGCGGTTGGGACTGTGAGAGCCACGAGAAACACTTGAGACAGTCTGCTTTAACTCAGGAGAAGCCAGTGGCTCAGGAAGTAGTCTGTGAATATCTTGGTTTTGGGGAGCATTTGAGTGCAAGTTCAGGCTGTTTGCCACCTCAGAGAGTGCCCGCCACAAACGGTTTCCATGAATGTGATTCAGATGTTGAGATTTTGGATTGTGGAAGAACGTATAGCCATTCCCTGGATGTCACTCAGTGTGGAAGAGGTCACATGAGAGAGAAGCCCCATAAATACCCAGGAAATGTTAAGTCTTTCAACCATTTTACTCTCCTTGGTGACCAAAAACTGATGAAAAGGGGCAGGAAACCTTATCAAGGGAAGGATGTTGGGGACATCTTTGCTCTGAGCTCATCTCTTCATGGAAGCAAAAGTTGTCCCATGGAGAAACCATATAAATGCACTGAATGTGACAAATGCTTCAGACGGAACTCATCCCTTGTTTTGCATCACCGAACTCACACTGGAGAGAAGCCATATGCCTGTAATGAGTGTGGAAAATCCTTCTCCAAGAACTACAACCTGATTGTGCATCAGAGGATCCATACAGGAGAGAAGCCCTATAAATGCTCTAAATGTGGGAAAGCTTTTAGTGATGGGTCAGCTCTGACACAGCACCAGAGGATCCACACAGGCGAGAGACCTTATGAGTGTCTAGAATGTGGTAAGACATTCAACCGAAACTCATCCCTGATTTTGCATCAAAGAACTCATACAGGGGAAAAGCCATATAGATGTAATGAGTGTGGGAAACCCTTTACTGACATCTCCCACCTCACTGTACATCTCAGAATCCACACTGGTGAGAAGCCCTACGAGTGTAGCAAATGTGGAAAGGCTTTCCGAGATGGCTCATACCTCACTCAGCACGAGAGGACTCATACCGGAGAGAAGCCCTTTGAGTGTTTGGAGTGTGGGAAATCCTTCAACCGCAATTCCCACCTCATTGTGCATCAAAAAATCCATTCTGGGGAGAAACCCTACGAATGTAAAGAGTGTGGGAAAACGTTCATTGAGAGTGCATACCTCATCAGGCACCAGAGGATTCATACTGGGGAGAAGCCCTATGGGTGTAATCAATGTCAGAAACTTTTCAGGAACATTGCTGGCCTCATCCGGCACCAGAGGACTCATACTGGTGAGAAACCCTATGAGTGTAATCAGTGTGGCAAGGCTTTCAGGGATAGCTCCTGTCTGACCAAGCACCAGAGAATTCACACCAAGGAGACTCCATACCAGTGTGTAGAATGTGGAAAGTCTTTCAAGCAGAACTCTCACTTATCAGTACATCAGAGACTCCATGACAGGGAGGGTCCCAGCCAGTGTCCTCAGTGTGGGAAAATGTTCAGAAGAAGTGCATCCCTTGTCCGACATCAGAGAGCACACCCTAAAGACCAGCCTGTATAAACATAGTGGATGCTGGGCCACAATTCTCTCAGCTTAGTGTGATGGCACCATTCCCTGGTCAGTAGAGAAGAATCCTCAGAGCTACCAGAGAATTGATGGACAAGCCATTCCCTAGCCCTGTTACATCTGTTAGTGGTGAATCTCCTGGAGAAAATACTGGATGATGATAAATGGGGAAGAGTGCTTCAGGAATGACTGAGCCTATGCAGAACATGGTAGTGTGACACTGGAATAAAAAATCGGGGAATGTCAGCAAGACAGTTCCCAAAGAGATCCACCCCTTTCACATGAGGATACTCACACTGGGAAGAGCCTGTGTGAGTCCAACAAGCAATCCCTAGGAAGAATCCTGTGAGAATGAATGTTCACTTCATGTACATGAGCACCTGGATATTAACCTGTGTGATCAGAAAGAGAAACTTTGGCAGGAGCTCATGCTGAGCTTTTGTATCAGCAAAGACACGCTGGTGAGCCATCCCATACACTGCTCCACCTGCAGCAGCCACAGGATTGCAGTTAAACTTTGATGTGTGAATGAGCCAGAGTACTGCCAGAATGCTAAGGACTCCTTAGAAGGGGAACTGGACCAAGGAGGTGCTGGTAGACAAGGAAGTCATCCCTTTTAAGACTACAGCAGGCTCTTCTGTGATGGATGTCTGTTGAGGAAACATGGTCCATTGCATTGGTGTTGAAACAAGATCCCCAGCTGTCGGGTTTGCATACCCATTCCCACACACACCATTGTTACCCCTGGAGGCCATTTCCCATTCATTCCTTTCAGCCACTCTGAATAATTATAGAGGTTTTGTTGCTATGTTGAAAATGATTATGATGTTTCAAAAAGAAGGTGTAAGAGATTTATTATCCTTACAGTCCACGTAAAGATATGTGTGCATATGGATGTAGATTAGAAGTAGATGTTGGAGAAATAAACAAATGGCTTTGTTAGAGGATTGGAATTGTGTCTGGGCTTTTTTCTCTGTTACAGATCATCAATAATTTGATAATGAGATAAAAGGAAAGCCGAGAGGATGTGAATTTGGGGTTTCTTGGGCCTTCTTTGCCAGTGGGGACTAGATTAGGGCTGTGGAAGCTGTAGGATTAGGTGTGCATCCAGGAATAAGCATCTCTGGAATCTGCATTCCTCAGCTTAGGTAGGAGAATCATTTTCTTCCTTGGGACATGGATAGAATGGGTTTGTCGTTATGGAGGAGAGCATGGGTCTCAGGGAACAGGAGAGCAAAGAAAATTCTGGAACAGGCAACCTTGTAGAGGTGGCTAGCTTCTTGACACAGTTGCAATGTCCTGAGTGGATCCTTTGGAATTTTGCCTTCCCCTGTCTTCTCTGGCCCCTGTGAAGGAAGAGTCTGGGTAAAAGCTGCTCTGAGCTTAGCTGTGAGTTATATGAATTAGAAACCTGGTCAGGCATTTCAGGCGTCTCCATAGGTACCCTTCCCTAAGGGGAAGAGCCATCAGATAGCCCCAAAATTTGGTATGAGGGTGGCCTAGTCCCCACCTGCCTTCAGTGCTGCCTGTCCTGTAGCTTCATGAAGATTGACTGGTTAATATGTATAGGTGTCCCTTTGTTTCTACCAAGATGGTCTTTCTATATTGTGGTCAACGAGTGCATAAGAAATCCTGACCCTTAAGTCTGTTGCAGTTAAAGTCTGAGCTACCATCTCAAGATGGAGTGTCCTTGCAAATGCATTGTGGTGGGCCCATGCTTTCTAACGTGTGGCATGTAAACTCTCCCCAGGCAATGGTGACTGATGGAAGAAGTGTCCCATGATACTGGGGGGCTTGACCCTCCAACACTGACCGTGGGGAGCTTGAGGGTGCAGAGAAACCCCTCCAGAGACAGTTTTAGAGAACAGTGTCTGATTTATTACACAGCAACAATAGCTTTTATAATGGGTATGTGCCAGTTTACATATAACAGTCATGATAGTCCAGAGGTGATACATACATATCATCTTACAGAATTCAGGACATCAAGAGATCAGAAACTGCCACAAAGCCGGACCCTGAACCAGCAGGGGAATCACACCTTGTCAAAGGAGCAAGGAAACTGCTTGCCAGGTTCTGACAGCACTTTGTCCCAAAACCGCATTCTATGTTAGGACTTGCCTGCTGCACAATGAGCAAGATAAACATTCCTCCATGAGAGTCTACAGTTAGGCCCTGAAGCACCATTATGCTCACCCCATCAAGTCCATGCCTCTCCAGGTGCACCCCTTAGATCCCTCAAATGCCTGCCTGCTTTGTAGATATGAAAGCCAGAAAGGAGGAAGGGAAGGAGAGGTGGAAGAAGGCAGTAATATTTCAGGTGCTCCCTGGCTCCTGCGTAAACTTATCTCACCTGGCACCCCAGTCTCATTTTTAAGCATCCCATCCCCAGGTTTCCCTGCCAAATGGCCCTCTTTTTGATTCAGAGGGTGGGCAAAACTTTGGGCTGGCTTTTAGCTGTAGTTTCAGGAGTTCAAAAGAATACCTCCATGCATTTTCTTTATTTGAAGTCTTGCCACAGTGCCTCTCTAGACAAGAATCCCTGGAGGAAAAGTATAGCTGAGCAGATAGCAAAGAGTTCATGACAACCCTGAGACTGAGGTGAGCAAGGTCCCTGGTGTTGCAGTGTCCCATCCTATGATTTTGTGACCTRGTGTCTCCATGATGCATGATTCCAAGGTCTCCATGCTTGGGGGTCAGATGGGGAAGAGCTTCAGGTAGCAATCTCTCCCCTGGAGTATCTTCTCTCATGTCTGGCATCTTAGCTGTGACCTTTCTTTTTGAAGATGGAWATGAGTGCCTGACCTGGACTCAGCCCCTGTTGGTTATGTCACAGAGGAGGGTGGGTCACCAGCCGTGGCAGCTAGAAGAGAGTTCAAAATCTCAGTCCTGAGAGAGAGTTCAAAAGAATACTTCCATGCATTTTCCTTATTTGAAGTCTTGCCACAGTGCCTCTCTAGACAAGAATCCCTGGAGGAAAAGAGTTCATGACACCCCTGACTGGGGTGAGTAAGGGGAGAATAGGTAGGTGGTAGAGGCAAGGGAGTGGGCAGAAAGGAAGAGAACAGCCTTGGGAAGGCATTTGGAGAAACAGGACCCACACATTTGAAGGTAGTGATCTACATGGGGGTGGAGGCCTGTGAGCACCTTACCTAACTCCTCTAGGATCATGAAATAGTGGTGCTGTTTCCCAGGGACTCTGCCTGTGGGTGGGCAACCATGTAGGAAGAAGGGACCTGGATGAATTGTGTTCGCTAGAGGTGTGTATGTATTATAGCATCACTCATATTTAGAAAAATACACCGACAGACTCTGCTTCACCTGTGTTCTGTCCAGTTCTGGGCTTTCTGCTCTGTCAGGTCTAACCTTGGCCTTCCCTCCTGATCTTGTAGGATCTACTTTGAGCCGGAGTCCTGAGTCAATTTAGCAAAAATACCCCACTCTGTATTTGAACTTTTTTGATATTTGAATTTTTTATCCTTCATCTTTGAATCCCTGTAACTTTGGCCTATCTTCATCCAGAGTCCTGTGGAGTTGGTGTAGCAAGGGTCGCCTGTTATCTATCATGTATCCTTTTAGTAATTTTTATTTTACTGATCCCCATCTTATTCTTTACATCTTTACTTGACTTTGTTGGAGTTGGGGTTGAGTCCACGCTATAAAGTCTTTCCATAAAGCCCTCCTATAGTAGCCCTCGATGAATAAAGTCTATTTATTTATTTACTTAAAGATAGACTTTTTTTAATATTTATTTTTTAGTTTTCGGCGGACACAACATCTTTCTTTGTATGTGGTGCTGAGGATGGAACCCCGCCGCACGCATGCCAGGCCAGCACGCTACCGCTTGAGCCACCTCCCCAGCCCCAAATCTACTTTATTAACGAATTTCATAATTTTTACGGACCGCCACAGATTGCAGCCTGGCCAACCGGGAGTGTGAGGGCCCCAATGTCGGGCGCCCGGCAGAGGATGGGCCACGACTAATCATAATGCCTCAAAAAGCAGATAACTTTGGGGTCAGATGCAGAAGGTGGAGGGAAAAAAAAAAAAAGCTAAACACAAAACAGCAGCGTGGATAGGGTCGCGGCCGCGGGGGTGTGTGTTCCTGGGTCCTCAATCTGCTGGGCAGGTAGGGAGGCGGGCGCGCACCGGGGCCTCCAGGCGGCAGGCGGCGTGCCGCTCAACCCGGGCCCGACGGGTGCCGTCCGTGGTCCGAGCGAAGCCCGCGTACATTCCGGCACCCTTTGGTGCGTGGAAACGCAGCAGGGGTGAGGGTGAAAGCCGCGACGCTCGCCACCGCCTAGAAAACGCTCCGTTGCTTCCCAGCGCCCATGGCGAACTAGGCCTCGCGCCCGACTTCCGGCGGCCCCTCGCCCCCGGCGTGCGTCGCTTCCGGGAAACCTCCGGGGTGGGTTGGGGAGTGGGGTGGGGCTTGTGCGCCTGAGCGTGCGCATGCGCACTGTGCGGAGCGCGCCGACGTGGGCGTTGGGGGCTGGAGGTGAGTCCGCCTTTTCGCGGCTTCGCGGCCCCTTCTCGGCCTTTCAGGACTGGGTTCTTGGACCCCCGGGACCGCGGAGCGAAGCCCTAGATTGGGTATGGGGCCGCTCCGAGGTCGGGAGCGGCGGAGCCGGACGGTGGCCGCGCGGCGGCGCGCCTGTCCCTGAGGGCGCAGCGACCCTCCTGAGGCGGGTCGGGGCTGGGGGCGCGGCCGGGGTGCCGGGCTGTGCGGGGACGGGGCCTCTGGCCGGCTTCCGTGGGTAGACCCTCCTCCTCCCTCCTTTGGGGTCGACTGTTTGGCGCAGATCCCTCCTCGGCCGGGCGCACGCCTCCCCAGCCCCGCGTGTCTCCCTGCTCCAGGGCCCGGGCTCCAGCCTGTCCGGTTTCCCGTGTGCACTCCCAAGGAGCTTTSCCTTGGTCGGTCGCCCTCCTCAGCAGCCCCGTGCCTGCCTCCTCCCCTGCGCTCCCCCACTTGCCCTGCCTTCCCTCTCTGCGCGGTTGGCAGTGTGTGCGAATGCCTCTGTCCTCTTCCTGCCCACTGTGAAGTCTCCCAGCCGGGCTTTCACCCTCCGCTGCTGGGAACTAACTCTTTTCCCTGCCTCTGATGCCGGGAAGCCGACTCTTGGGGTCAGGCATCTCAGGCTTTGAGCTTCTCGCTCAGGTCCTTGAGGACGTCCGGTCCTGGTAGTCTGTGTAAATGGTGACTCCTTCTGCTTGCTATCTTCATTATCCCACATCATCTTTTGAAATCCTGTTCCTCTACCTATAAGAAATTTTCAGAATTCAGCCACTTTAGCACATCTTTTCTTCCTGCTATGGGAACCTCCTGTCTGCTTCTTTCCTTATGCCTTTGTCTTTCACATGATCTGTTCTAGGAGCCAGTGGGAGCCTGTTAAATCACATCCCTCCTCTCCTTCAAACTCCTCAAGGCTTCTTCCATTCAGTAACAGCCAGAATGCTCATAAGCTACAGGACTGGAGCTGCTGGCCTAAGAACTGTTTGCTGCCTGATGACAGTTCATACTCATACAGAACTTGCCTTAGTCCTTTCTACCTTCTTGTGCAGTGCATTCCTGACTTTGCTTGGTTTCTGAGTTGTGGGCTGTTGGTAGAGATTGGGAGCCAGGGATACCGTCCCTAACTCAAAAGATTGATCCAGGTCTGGGTGCATCCTGAGTTTGCAGTGATACTAACAGACTCTTCATTTGTTCCCTACTTGGTTCCTCCACTAGAGTGCACCTGTCAGATCCACTGTGGTAACATCAGTGCTGAGAACAGTGCTTGGCACACAGTAAGTGTTGAGTAAACTTTGGCTGAGTGAATGATTAAGAGCCAGCTCTGTGACCACAGGGAACCAACCCTTTTCTAGATAATGAGATCACAGGGGGTGTGTGTTGCTGCCAGCAACATGTACCTAGTGTACTCAGGCCTTTGTGAGAATC